ACTCACTGGTTTGGCTGATGCATGTCATGTTTCAAATCCGTACATCAATGCTCCTGATATGAGTGAGTGAGTGAGTGAGTATGGTTTTACGCCGCTTTTAGCAATATTCCAGCAATATCACGGCGGGGGACACCAGAAATGGGCTTCACACATTGTACCCATGTCGGGAATCGAACCCGGGACTTCGGCGTGACGAGCGAACGCTTTAACCACTAGGCTACCCGACCGCCCGCTCCTGATATGAATCACTTGATTGTCTGGTCCATACTCAATTTCTTTTTTATACAGATGGCCTTCATTTAGCTGGAATATTGCTGAGTGCAGCCTTAAGCAGCAAACACATAATCAACAATCTATCACTTGTATTCATCTTGCCTTGTTGCTTGCCATCTCAACTTGGAATGTCTTGTAACATGAGGAATTCCATCCCTGTCTTTGTAATTAGGAAGACATCTTTTCCAGCAAAAACTTAATGTGTTCTGGTTTGATGTATTATTGCGAGGGTTCAGATGTACAAGTCTGCGATTATGAAAGTAGATCTTGTTTGATGACGTCAGAAGTGGCATTTTGATTGGCTGTGGCTTTCTTGCTCTTGAGAAAGAGAAATTCTAATAAAGAGAGGTGACAAAACCATTTCCATAGTCATGAAAAATCTCTGTCAATAGCAGAGTCGATTTTACGATTCCGACTATATCAAGAGCATGTGTGAATCACTGTTAGATATCAGATACCAGGTGCTTACTAAAAGGTGAGCGTATCTTGCCCCGTCGGTATCACCCATCACAAACACATGCGAAGGCAGGGCAATACTTTTGGTTCACCTGAAAAAAACTGGAAGTTAGAGATAAGAGAGATGGAGCTGCTGATGCTACTTCTGAACATGTCTGTGGTCATAGAAGAATGGACGTATGATATACTGAATTAATGCAGATGTGACGCCTTAAGACTTAAAGAATTTGGAGCACATTTGTGGATGACATTACTTAAACAGTTTGTGTGCCCAAGGAGGAACAAACACCCTGTTGTGAGTCTAGTGGTTGTGTGTCTGCCTGGAGGACTGAAGGTCGGCAGTTCGATCCCCGGCTGCATCATACCGAAAGGTGTTAAAAGATGGTGCTTGTTGTGCAACAACATTAAACCCCTTTCACCTCATCTCACCCTTTTGTGAGTCTTGCATGATGTCAAAGGAGTTATTCAATTCACTGTGTAGGGGCCTGTGTCCTGAATATGTTGCTTGGTTTGTCTACACCATACCCTTGCTGGCAGGTTTGATCAAAGAGCTGTGCATCTCAGACATGCACCACTTCAAGTTGTGATGTATAGGGAATCTCACCCAAGTCTCTTTTGAAATCAACCATATCATCATGAGTGGCAAAAAGTTTAAAATTCCAAGGATGCCTCTTGGAGAAGCCAGTTTTGGATCATACAACTGAAATAGGCTTCAGGCAGAGTCTGTTGCTACAAACACTTGTGGACACACACTGTTCAATGTGGAGTTGAACACAACTCACTCACTTGAACACTTTGAATATGGCAACCACAGTTGGCCTTGTTATGTGTTTGCAGTAAGTAAGTACAATGCTAGCTGATGTTTGGTCAGGCCACAGATGCAGCAGTATTGCTTCTGGACTTTGGGATTATTGGTGGCCAAATAGTAAATCATTGAAGGAGAGTGTGTATGTTTATGGTGATTTGCAAGTTTTAATTTAGCTTCTTTTGTGTTTGGATTCTTGAAAGATTACTTTGACAGCCATTTTCATCTTTGAGTTATTTCTGTTTTGAGAGTGATCATTCTTAAAGAATTGTAGTGAGTGAGTTTATGCTTTACGTCACATCGGCAATATTTCAGCCATATCGTGACGAGGAAAGAATTGTAGTCATAGGAGTTCACTGTCTGTGACATACACCAGAACTAAGGAGTCTGCAAACGTAGCAATATTCTGACTTGTATTTCTTGCCCTTTATAATGATATTGTTCATTGTCTAACTTTGGAAGCCATTTCAGATATCTTTATTTCAGATATGATGATAGTTCATATCCTATAACTGTCGAGCAAAAGTTCACTGTTCATGGCATATTACAGGACAGTGAAGTCTGAAAACAAGGCAATTTTATACACTTGTCCTTGATATAATATTTTTTTATTACTAAACTTTTCCACGTTTGAAGTATGGCCGTTCTTTGTGTCCTGATTGTGAACTATGATAATTATGGTTGCTTCCATTTCCCTTCACTTCAGAGACAGTGCCAATTGATGTTGACCAGCGCTCATTTTCCCATCATGCATGCTGTATAATTTCCAATTACTACCGTTCCTTAAGCTCTTCAAACAAGCACCTAAATCCAACAAACAAGGACTTAATGTCCAAAGAAACTGAAAGGGTTCTTGTCAGCGTTGATGACTGCCCTGTCACAAACAAATAACAAGATTAAGATGCAGTGCCGCATTTCTGCACGTGAAAGATAATGGCCTTACGTCAGACCGTTTTCAGTGATGCCAAACAACTCTGATTTATGTCTTTTCTAAGACCATAGTCACAATGGCATGTTCATAACTACAATTAGAATGTAATTGAGTCCCCATGTAATTTGAGCCTTATAAGTTCCTTAAGTTTGACTATTGAGCTGTGAAGCACTTTAATGAACAGGCAATGAAGGCATCTCCCACTTTACAGAGCAGAATTCGCCCATTTACAAGACATCACTTCCTGGGGTTGGGCCAATTGTTGGCTGCCAATAGGTTTTATTACAATAACATTACATTAACTTCTGATTAATTAGGACTCTATCCAGCCATGCTCATTGGCCACACGGCCATTTCCTTAATTGAAACAAACCATGATGTTCTAAACGTGATTTAATGTTTATTGTGCGCCAAAATATTGACAGGTGGCAAAGTAAAAACATGCAAAAAGATTGATCATGGCCGTCCTTTGTTGATGTGCTTGTTGGTGTTTATGCTCCCTACAAGACAGCACCGTCCTCGTTGACTCTTGCCAGCAGAGTATGAAGTCTGGTAATTACACTCAGGTTAATGAGCCATTGTTTCATTTGGCCATGATCTAGTGGAAGTTATCATGTTTATGGGAAGTTAATCTTTTTTCGTGTCTATACATGTTGCTGCTGAAAATAGATCAAACCACTTTAGCCACGGTGATTGTAAAGGTTATATTGATGGGGGAAAATGTGCAATTTGAAGTGTTCTTAGTAGGGTAGGGACGGAACATTTTGGCTTTATGTAATATATTGGAAACTGAAGGTCATCCAGTATAGGATGCTGCTCAGATGCCACATGAGGAATTTTCGGTCAAGACCCAGGAATCTCAAGATGTGGTACTGACAACCTGTTCTGTCCTGTATTGATTGAGTGTGGAGTGTTGGTTCCCAAAAGACAATAAACAGTTCATTTCACATTATACATCTGATTACTGAAGAATTATTGCTCCATTATTTTCATGTGGGATTTATTGGGGATATTAGCACTTAAGGCTGTATATGGTTCAGTCACTTTGAGTTGTGGCAGAGATACATTGGCTGGGCTGTGATTACATTATATCTGGTGGAGAGTCTTCACACTCTGCAGGGTCCACCTGGTCAGCCCTGGGGGTATTTAGGGTTGTATTGATGTCCAGTGCCCAACACTTGTAAGAAAGGACTAAATGGGATTCGGAGAACTTGTACTGTTTGACTTGGTGGCTTGATAGTCTGTCATACTGTCACTGAGCAGTTGGGTTCATGTTCCAAAATGTGGTTTTGAGTGGTTCAGTGTTACGGATCTGGAATACCTTATTCGACGTAATAAGCGCCCCGCTCTCATAAGCGCCCACGGCGATATTTGCTAATATATTGGCAAGAGAACAATCCCAATTAGCACCCCTTCCGATTGATCAATGTACACTTATTTATTCACGTATAATACGCACTCGTGTGTTATATGCACCCTTAATTATGGGCAATTAAATTCTGGAAAAATATATCTGTCGAATATAACAGTTCAGGCCGTCAGCATAAACCACAAAATTTATCTTTCAACTCTGTTTTTTCCACCAAAATAATATTCTATTAAGAGCCCCCTATTTCTAATTTTGAGAGCACCCTGGGCACCTATTACATCAAATACGGTATGGTAGTCTGGCATGATGGCTTTGTGAAATGGTTTGTGAAATATATACTACTCAAAAGAAGCTAAGGACCACTTGATTCTTTCATAATACTATAGTTAATCTGTGATGTTATACAGGTCTGTATAGTTAATCTGTCATGTCTTGACAGATTAACTATAGTAATATGAAACAACCAGGTGGTCATTAACTGCTTTTGAGTAGGCCGCCTATGTGGTCTAGTGGTGGAGCGTCTGCCCGGAGAGCGGAAGGTCGTGGGGTTTGATGCCCGGCCGCGTCATACCGAAAGGTGGTGCTTGGTACCCTCAAGGCTCGGCATTAAGGGGCTAAAAAAAGGACTGGTTGGCTTGGAGTCATTATACTGTGTCTGAGTGTGATATTCATGTTAAACTGTGGCATGGTATCTCAGTGGGATAGCACTATAAAATGGGCATTAGTCTGGACTAGTACAAGCAGCTCTCCCCCCCCCCCCCCCCCCCCAACACACACATGTACATACACATCGCTATATTAGTGCACCAATGTTGGATGTGACGTTAAACCCCATTTCACCTTACCTCTTATGCTTGTTGACACCAGCCTAACACTTCTTTTCTTTCCCATGAAAACTGTTATCTGAAGCGATGTTAATCCACAACTCATGGGGGGACGGTCGGGTAGTCTAGTGGTTAAAGCATTCGCTCGTCACGCGGAAGACCCGGGTTCGATTCCTGACATGGGTACAATGTGTGAAGCCCATTTCTGGTGTCCTCCACCATGATATTTCTAAAAGCGAGGTAAAACCAAATTCACCTACCCACCCAACTCATGGTCACCAAGTATTCTGTGTTTAGTGTATGCCTATGAACTTTTGTACCACATTTGCCCCTTCTTTGCAGGTTTGTCTGTCCACAATGAAGCTGTTTGACATGCTACTCCAGAAAGAGGATGCTCACATCTTCCAGAACTTGTTCCTGCGGAACCTCCTAGGACGGTGCTACATGAAGCCACAGGCTAGTTCCAATCAGTCACAAGATGGAAGTGGCTCCACGGAAACACAAGATGCTAGTGTTCCCACAGAATCCAAAGATGGGAGTGGTCCCACAGGATCCCAAGATGGGAGTGGTCCCACGGGAACTCAAGATGGTTCCACAGAAACACCAGCTGCAGATGAGGAGGATGGAGGCATGGATGCTGCCTCCAGTCATGTGAAGGATGCAGATAGTTGTAAAGAAGAGCAAGATGAAGAGAATAAGGAAAGGACAGCTCCAGATTCCCAAAGAAAAGGAGATTCCCATGATAAAGCTGCAGTGGAAAGTCTACCAACACCAAAAGGTACCTTTATTCAACATGCATGGTATTACAGACAAAATAGGACGTCAAGAAACACAATTACCGTATTCGACGTAATAAGCGCCCCACTCTAATAAGCTCTAATAAATTTGCTAATATATTGGCACGTGAACAATCCCAATTAGCACCCCTTCCGACTGATCAATGTAAACAAGACTTATTCATTCGCGTATAATACGCACTCCTGTGTTATATGCACCATTAATTATGGGCAATTAAGTTCTGGAAAAATATATCTGCCGTACATAAACATTTCAGGCTGTCAGCATAAACCACAAAATTTATCTTTCAACTCTGTTTTTTTTCCACCAAAATAATATTTCAATAAGAGCCCCCTATTTCTAATTTTGAGAGCAGCCTGGGCGCTTATTACGTCGAATACGGTAATACATATGATAGATTTAAGATACGTTACTTTTGGATGTGTATGAATGTGCTTCAAAAGAGCTGATGTGGTGGTTCTTATCATCTGTCCTTCATAATAACTTTTACATTGCACAAAAGATACTGAACTACAATGGTTCCAGTATAAAGTATTACATCATATACTACCAACAAACAAAAGACTTTTTAAAATGCGACTGGTTGATTCGGAGACATGTAGTTTTTGTTCAAATAGTATAGAATCTGTTTCCCATGTACTGGCAGACTGTAGCAAAGTGAAACCAATATGGCAAAAACTGGAAGAGTGGCTATCAGATGAGATTCAGGTTAAACTCACATTAACAAGAAAAAACATTCTGCTTGGATCTGATCAGCGACACAACGATCCTATAAATGTAATTATCTTACTTTGCAAATTCGTAATTTTTAAATATAGATATTCAAAAAAGGTACCGAACTTCCAGTTTCTTAAAAAGAGATTTACAAATATTACATGCTTACAAAATACACAGCTCTCATAAGTAATAGTATCGATAAATTCTACAAATTTTGGTCATCTTGTCATCTTTTGTTTCCCACATAATAATTCTGTCCTCAACTTTTGTTTACTGCCTATGTATTACATTGTATAGTCCATGTGTAAAAATGCAACAGAAATAAAGTTAAAAAAAACAAACAAAAAAACAAAACAAAAAAAACACAAACTTTTACATTGTTTCTCCTCTGAAACTACAAGGCCTAGGGAGCTGAAATTTGTATGAATAATCCCAGCAATGAGACTCTAATAAATGACTCCCAGAATTCTAGTCTGACTCACGGCGCCATTATTTCACAATTCAGGTGAGCTACAGATGGACAGATGCTTCGGAGCTTGTGGCTCTTTTTTTGTGTTTTGTAAAATATTTGTTCAGTTCGTGATCCGATTTAATTCTTCACTTGGGGTGAAGTCCTGAATTAACTTCAGCATTAATGAAGATCATTTGATTAGTGAAAGGCCATCAATCTCCGGGGACATCATGGACAAGGCTGTCTGCCTCTTCTCTAAATCTTCACCAGTCAAATGACTGTGTGGGCACATTATGTTTTTTGGTGACATTAACTTCAGAACATACCAAACTTTATTTCTAGACAGGTCTGTTTTTCCAACCAGATGTATTATTTTTAAAAATTCTGAAGCTGCCTTTTTCATTGACAAAAGATGGATGACTTCAAAAGAGATTTTGAACATTTCATGGATTGTTTAACACGTTTGACAGCTGTGAAATGATATCAAGTTTCTTGTTTTTATTCACCACTGGATTTTGCTTTTTGTATGTCAAGTTATGTCATTGAATTATGAACATTTACATGTTTTTTGAAAATAGAGACAGTTATTTTATATTAAAAAACCAAATGGCGGATACGGATGCATTAGAAAATCTGAAATAATTGCGAAAATAATGAAAGGATGTTTTTCAACTATCTGATGTATGGAACATGTATAGGTTGTATATCATTGAGAAAATCTGTCAGCTTTGAGTTTTTGCATCAAGAACACTCGTTCATTAGATACAAGTTCAATTTCAATTTAGCAAGACATGGATGGACAAAAGTCTAAATATCACTTTCACTCTTAATGTGTATCCATCGGGGTATAAATGTCTTGGTTGTATACGGATGCATACATCTTGTCAAATTACATCTGTGGGATTTTTTTTGTAGGGATGCGTTCCTTGTGAACTTCACATTTAGAAAATGAAAACAAGAAAATAGCTTTTGCTAATAAATCATTCGTGATGAGCTTTATCAATTTTGGATTAGTTTTGAAGGTAGCTAATTTGATCAGAGTCGTGTGTACTCCAGGGAGCAGAAATGCTTCATTTCCTCCAACGGATGAAGATACTGGCCCACATCTGACATGTTCCACTGCAATTGATGGGCTGGAAACGTTGGTGATTGTCTTTGAAATATGTCCCATGTTTGGCAGGTATCGGGAGACCTAATGGCCAAGCTTAGGTCTTTATCTGGCACGACCAGAGTATATGTCAGACTTCCATGTCAGACTGCCCTTTTCATAAGTTTCAAGGCAAAAAGTTTTCAAATTAAAATGGCTTGCAGGGAACTGATTAGAAGCCAATTAGAATCAACGCGAGGGTCTATCTTTCGGGAGCCTGTTGGGTGGGATTGGATGAATAGGTTAACAAAAAAGAAACGCAGAATAGATTAGATGCCTTGCAGCGTAGTGTGGGTAACGGGTAGCCATGTTAGCTTATGTAGCCCTGACTACAGGGATTGCATTGTTGGCTTAGTTTGCACTTTTGGCTAATCTAGCTCTGTTAGTTAATGCATCCCTGTTAGCTAATATAGCCATGTTAGCTAATGTAGCCTTGTTAGCTTGTATTGATCTGTTTGCTAATGTAGCCCTGACAACTAGGATTGTTAGCCAATGTTGCAATGTTGGCTAATCTAGCTCTGTTTGTTAATGCATCCCTGTTAGCTTAATTAGCAAATGTGCCTACATTAGTTATGTTAACTAATGACCTTAATGTAGCTGTTAACTATTACAGAGCTACAGGTAAGCTGCGTATTTACGTAAAATACTCCCCCAAAATATTCAAAACCCAATTTCTTTCAATTATCTTGCGTTCAAAACCGCATGCATTAAAGGAAAAACTCAAATGTATAAAAACAGCATGTGTAAATACCTAAGAAAGCTTTTTCAGCATGCGTACAACAGAGCTAATTCAGAAACACCTTCCCGCTACCTTATGTAGATGCTAGCCAAAGTAGCTGTTAACTAATGTAGCTCTGTTAACTAATGTAGCTCTGCTAACTAATGCACCTGTTACCCAATGTGTTCTGTTAACTAATGTAGCTGTTAGCCAGTGTAGCTGTTATCTAGTGTACTCTGCTAACTAATGTAGATGCTCGCCAAAGTAGCTGTTAACTTATGTAGCTCTGTTGACTAATGTAGCTCTGTTCACTGATGTAGCTGTAAGCCAATGTAGCTGTTAACTTGTGAACTCTGCTAACTATTGAAGATATTAGCCAAATTAGCTGTTAGCAGATGTGTAGCTGTTAGCCAATGTAGCTGTTACCTAGTGAACTCTGTTAACTAATAAAGATCCTAGCCAAAGTAGCTGTTAGCAGATGTAGCTGTTAGCCAATGTAGCTGTTAGCAGATGTGTAGCTGTTAGCCAATGTAGCTGTTAGCAGATGTGTAGCTGTTAGCCAATGTAGCTGTTACCTAGTGAACTCTGTTAACTAATGAAGATCCTAGCCAAAGTAGCTGTTAGCAGATGTGTAGCTGTTAGACAATGTAGCTGTTAGCAGATGTGTAGCTGTTAGCCAATGTAGCTGTTAGCAGATGTGTAGCTGTTAGCCAATGTAGCTGTTAGCAGATGTGTAGCTGTTAGACAATGTAGCTGTTAGCAGATGTGTAGCTGTTAGCCAATGTAGCTGTTACCTAGTGAACTCTGTTAACTAATGAAGATCCTAGCCAAAGTAGCTGTTAGCATATGTGTAGCTGTTAGACAATGTAGCTGTTAGCAGATGTGTAGCTGTTAGCCAATGTAGCTGTTAGCAGATGTGTAGCTGTTAGCCAATGTAGCTGTTAGCAGATGTGTAGCTGTTAGACAATGTAGCTGTTAGCAGATGTGTAGCTGTTAGCCAATGTAGCTGTTAGCAGATGTGTAGCTGTTAGCCAATGTAGCTGTTACCTAGTGAACTCTGTTAACTAATGAAGATCCTAGCCAAAGTAGCTGTTAGCAGATGTGTAGCTGTTAGCCAATGTAGCTGTTAGCAGATGTGTAGCTGTTAGCCAATGTAGCTGTTACCTAGTGAACTCTGTTAACTAATGAAGATCCTAGCCAAAGTAGCTTTTAGCAGATGTGTAGCTGTTAGCCAATGTAGCTGTAGGCAGATGTGTAGCTGTAAGACAGTGTAGCTCTGTTAACTAATGTTCTCTTTTGACTGATGCAGCTGTTAGGCAGTGTACTCTATTAACTGATGTACGTCTGGTAGCTGATGTCAATGTAGCCAAAATGCCAGCAAACAATAAACACTTGATATAATTATGCCTAGTGATATCTTATTGCCAAATTTACACTCAATCTGTACCAATAATGGGGAGTTTGTGCTGAAGTGTGTATCCTACACAAGATCATCTGGCAGAATGAAGGAGGTCAATGGAATCATTTCAATATAATGTTATGTAATCTGCTGATACTGAAAGGGAATAACACTTGTCGTATATTAGGAGTATGTGACAGAAACTCGCTGACTGCCAACACTGATTGAAAAGTATTGCCTCGCATCACAAATGAAATGTAAGCCATACATCTCTCATTACGAATGGATTCTCATGGTCAATTGTAGCCAAAGCATTTGGATTATTATTCCTCCCTGTTTGCCTAAATCCATAAGAATAATAGCAGTTTTGATATGATTGCTTCATATTCAACACAAATTCTCTTACTTGAGACATTTGTAAATGTCAAAGTGGTTCTGATTTGGGCAAGTATTATATTCATTACGCTGGTCGTGATATGGGATTTGTTGTGTCATCGCTTGTTACTGAGAAGCTCCAGCTGCCGGAAGACGTCCCACGTCCCTGATGA